AAGCTCAATTCGACGAATCCCTCGTTACTCAACTGCGAGCCGATGTGGAATACCATTTAAAGCGGACATTTAAAGCAACACTACGAGAGACAAGAAGGGGGGTTTACAGTACTGACGAGCCTAAATTCTCCATCACTCTGTTGGAACGAGATTACCAACTCGAGTTCGATGATACGACTGTAGTACGTTATTAGTTTTGGTGCCTTGAGTCCTACGTACGGTCGAAGTGCGCTCAATATGCTGCCTCAAATCGCTGCGCCCCATTTGGATTGCCCCATTGGATACGACACGGTGATCGATCAATGGACTCAGTACGTCCACTTTCGTGGAGCCATCGGGATGTCAATTTCTCGAGAGCAATTCATGTGCTCACACACTATCTACCACGAACGGCCTCTGGTCGTCAAGAACGCCTTGAACGACACCCGCTACTGCCACCTGGGCGTCGTCAATCAAACAGATGCCCGGTTCTACGCTGGTTTCCCGATCCGAGCGCCGGACAGCGCTATAGTCACTTGCTGCAGGATCCACGAACTCGTACTTGTACAAAGGTACTGGGCTCACCAACTGACAAAGGGATTCCGGAGCTTGTGAATGTTTACTCGGGTCATCTAAGTACAATTGGTCCGTGAGCTCCTCCACCCAGCTCGAGTCAGAAGTCATTAAAGCTGTATCTCCATCCACATCCACGTGGAACTTGTCATCGTTGTATCACAATGCGTCATTGTGCTCGATCTGTTCCAACCGCTACCGCTTATTCCGTTGCGACTTCTTCTGGCATTTGTGTGGTAACATGGTGTGTGGAGATTACTCCCAAATGTACGAGGTGGAAGCTCGCATGGGGGGAGCTTCGATGCAATCGATAATGTCTACAATGCGTACACCGTGGTGACACATGTGTGTTTGACGATGAAGGAGACTTTGGGCATGCAGTTGTATCTGTAATGTCTACAATGCGTACACCGTGGTGACACATGTGTGTTTGACGATGAAGGAGACTTTGGGCATGCAGTTGTATCTGTAATGCCGGATCGTCGTACCCCATAGGGAAGTAGATGAATGTTTGGAAACCAAAGCGACGACGACGAACGGCCCTTTCAAATTGACGGAGAGACGTTCAGGACGTGTATAGCTTCGGGGTTCATGATACTTTCACGTCTACGAGCGATATATTAAATGGGTTTTAATCCATTGCAGACATGGAGCTCATTGAATACACCGTGGTGAATGCCACAGCGAATGCGATCTTAGCTGTCGGATCTTCGTGTAAGAACAAATGGAGCCCAGTTGTGGGATCATTGAGCAGCCTGCTAGCACCAATAACACCTAGGTAAAGTCCAATGACCAGGAAAAATGTCTCCAAACGAAGATCCATTCAGTGTTCCTGCTACGAATAAGTCCATGATGCTCCTGTCATTGTCGCAGCGTTGATGGACGTTTGAGCGTGTCCTCTAGTAGGTAGTGGCTCTCTCCGGGTAACTTCCCCACGACGGTTCCAGAGGTCGGCTTTCTAGTGCAGTCTCGTGCCCCGTCATTCCACGACATCATCGACCAGATACATCACCTCTTTACCCACCACTGGACTTTGAAAAGCGCTGTCACGTCATTTGGAAATTGATGCAAAGCCGAATGCTGTTCCGGCGATTGAAGCGAACTGGGTGGATGTGGACTATGGGCTGAAGACGATCGTACTTGCTGTGTGGAGCTTGGCATTCATCGGATGAGTCGAAACAGATCTTGCGTAGATCCTGGGTGTATATCTATTGTGTGCCACGTTCTGGGTGATTGAAGTCGATGTCGCGAGTGTGGTGTGCACAGTGGTCGACGTGGTAAGAGCCTGGAGCTCCCAGAAGTACATGAAGGTGGTAGCAGCTCCAGCAACTGCGCTACGTTTCCTTGTTCAGTTATTTCCTATCGTTGCTCCATGAAATTGACAGCAGTACAAATGGATTGCAGATAACTTTTCGGAACACGGCGACTCCACTGGGAACTATTGCGTGTCTTGCAGTTCCGCTCGTGTGTGTCATTCAGAGTCATGTGCCGAGACCACTCCTGTTCTTCTGATTAACATACCACTTGCCTTTCGGATGGCTTCTCAAGACGACGCTAACGCTGCTGGACATCTTTGAGCTGTGCTGGAATCTCCGGTGCAGCAATTGGCAAGCGTCACAAAGAGCACGAAGACCTTCCTTGGCGCCTTTGGTGAACTGTTTCCAGTATTGTCGACGCTCAGCAGCCTCGCGCAGGCGACGCTGCCAATTATTCTGATGTGGATGGCCGACACCATTGGAGAACGTGCTATCGATTACATGACCAGGAACTAATGTTTCACTGGCAACCAAAGTGATAGAAGACAAACACAAAACATCATTTTTCAACCATATATCCGCGAGAGATTAATGCGCGTTGCCTGGGCGATAGATTCTGATGGGATCAATGGTTCACTGTACTGAACTAGTCAGTGAACTAAAGATGAGCATGAACATCGCCTGATGTCTTGTTGAAATCCAGAAACGCTTGTAGCTCCGATATCGCTGTCACAGCATCATCTCCAAGCCTGGCACGACGAGAACTAATAGTTGCACCCGACGCAGAGAATGCCTCTTCACTTGGGACTGATGTTGCCATAATTGCCAAATAATTGCGCGCCATCATCTGAATCCGCGGAAATGAAGCGGCTTCATTCTTCATCCAGTTGCAAACAGCTCGACTTCCTGTCTTCAGGTTCATGGATCTGTCCTTGTGTTCCAACCACCGCTGTAGCTCCGACACGAACGACTCATTTGTGTTGTTGACCGGTTCGTGTAAATCCAAATGCTCATCAATGAGACCATATAATGCTTCTTCGTCATCGTCTTCTTCTTTCTCCTCCTGCGTTCTCTCAGCCTCGGCGATGCCCACAGTTCGTTCGTATTTACTGCGATACACAGATTCATATTCGTTCTCAACAAGGCGCTTGGCCTGCTCGATATCACCGTCGATCATCACAATGTGTTCCTTAGCTCGAGGATCAAGAACGGCAGCAATCCTTGCCTCGCGAGTCTTCACCAACGGGAGGTACTCATCCAACTTTGTTTTAAAGGCACGTGCAAAGTCCCTAGTGTACCACGACTCGGCATTCTGCATTATCTTTGACGCATGCTTCGAGATCAAATGGAAGACAACAAGTGTTACACCGAATGTGGGGTAATTTTTTCCAGACATCATAGTAGTTGCTGCTTTGATCGGCTTCAAGAACGCCGTAAACTCGGTCAAGTAACTCCACGTAGTCTCCGAAATGGGGGAGGCAAGACGATGTGTATGACCAATTGACAAGTCTCTGTATCCTTCATGGCGCTCGCGGATTCTACGCAGCAGTTCTTCGATCGCCTTTTGTAATGCACGAGCTGAAGCCAGCATAGTCAAAGTGCTGTTCCATCTTGTGACGCAATCGAGTTCTGGAGAAACATACTTGATACTAACAGCGGCACACACTCCTTGCAAAGCTTCTAGCAAAGACGGTGAGTCCGATATCTTCTTCAAAATGTCGCGAATACTTCCAACGCTATCATCCATTAAGGGGCACGCTTTCATTCCTTCTCTCACAGCAAGTTGAAGCACATGAGCGAGACAGCGAACTTGTATCACCTTCAGCTGAGAACTTCTGCCTTCCTCACCAGCTATATGTACCCCCGTCGTGGTAGAAGCCGCGGTTGTTTGTTCGTTGGTAAACACCTCGTCAGCAAGTGTCTCGTTAATTTTTCTGACCATGGTCCCATTGTTAGTCGCATTATCTGCAGTAATTGCCCACAGCTTCGAGATAAGAGATTCATCCATTGCCCTCAGTGTATCCATTAAATGATCGGCAAGCCGGACGCCACTATGAGGATACTCCACCCGTGTGAATCCAACCACTACGGCCTTGATAGCCCATTCGTCATTGATCCAGTGTAACGTCACGACCATATACCCTTTTTGAGCCGCCGACGTCCACATGTCGGTTGTGGCAGACACACGACACGACGCAATTTCTTGGAGCATTGTGTGCCGGGCCAGTTCCTTTTCACATGTCCAGCGTTGTATGACCTTCTTGCGCACCGTTTTACGAGTTGGAGGCGTGTAATCGGCTTCAAGAATCTTACAAAATGATCGAAACGCTTTCTTTTCCACCAAATTAAACGGAAGTGAGTTCATCACGATCAAGTCCACAAGCTGATCATCGGCCGCAGCTTTGTCAAAAGTGCGCTGCTTTACAAAACGTTCAAAACCAAACGCAAGTAACTTCGTTTGCTTGGAATCCATTGCAGCCACTGAAGCCTCGTCGTCTCCTCCGGAATATTCGTCACGATGGTACCGTTTAAGATGGCGGCGAAAAGTGGTGTGTGCAATTGATGACCATCGACAAGCTGAGTCTGTAGGGCACAGCAAGCAGGTATAGGAACCTTCATCGCTCTCACGAATGAAAGACCAAATGTCGGAACGCTTGTGACTGTGAGATCGCCGATATCCACTCGATGAAGTGTTTGCGTTCGACGAAATGTTTATGCTCGACTCGTCATGAGCGTCCATTGATTCTACTTATGTGGTATCTTGCCTACGTAGTAAAGCCAAAGTAGAGAAGTGAAATCAGCTCATTACCGTTCGGCGTGCAGCCTTAGTCTGTCCCACGGAGGTAGCTTCTCGACAGGAATTTGGTGCAGGTGCAACTACCGATCCGATCCGATCGGATCCGATCGGATCGAATCAAGCCATACAAATTCCAAGTATAAAAACTTCAATCACACACAGATCATGGCGCAAAATTCCAACCTCAACGAAGGGAAGTTCGGTCCCAGAAGTGGCGAGCCAATGCCGTGATGTGCTGGTAGACACTGCCAGGGAGAGGTATCACACTTGGACTTGAGCTTCGAGGAGCGGATAGTTCGGGCGGTGAAGTGGTAAGCGGTGGGGCGTACCACGACGGACAGCGCGGCAATGATCTTGATTCAAGTACATGTACAAGTCGCCAATCAAGACTCTTGATGAGCGACTTGTACATGTTCGGCTCGCCATGGACAGCTTCACAGCGGGACGTGGAAGTTCCCGGGCACTTCGATGAGCTGGGTGGTGCTCAACAACAAGCAGGCAGAAGTGCTGGTACGACGTGGCTACAGCGTTGCAGGCGTGTCGCCGACGCTGTTGGATATATGCTCATTAATTTTCCGCCGGAGTCTGCAGTGGGCTAGCCGCAGACGTAATCGGTGGCGTAGTTTTCGGATGTGTTCCGGGAGTCTCTATTGCTGGTATTCCGCGATAAACGAGATGCTGCACTGAATATACGGAAGGTGCGTCTGCTGACGATTTCATGACGGCGTCCCGACGGGTAGTGTAGAGCCACACACAATAAAATTCGTCACTTTCCTCTGCCTTAGGCTCCTACGAAAAACACTTCCTAGCAGAAAACTTCTTGCTAGGACTCCTGCTGCAGGAAAACTCATCCTGGAGACGAACAACACGTACGGTACGACAATATGACCTCAAATATTTAATGCAGAACGTCTTAAATCGTTTCATAGAATCGTAAAGGTTTTAAATGTCATAGGGTAGACTCTATACCTACAAGAACGTATTTCTTGTGAATCCCAGCACAAGGGACTATATCATTTTTTGTGTTTCTCCTAGAATCTTATACATTTTTGATTGGATCCGATCGATCGATCAATCGGATTCAATCGAATAAGATCGAAACGAATTCAACCTCGATCGGATTAGTCAGACGAGACATATCGATTGATCCGATTCAATCCATTTCCCAAGCCTACTGGTGGTAGTGTAAACCAAAACGGAGTGTCCCTTATTTAGAAATTTATTTTTAAATTTTTTAGAAATCCCCAAAATTAATCCAGACCAATGCGGATTTAGTGTAAAGCAAAATGATGAATATATCTTGCTCGATGGTCGCCTCGATAACAGTATCTTGCATGTGCAGTACTTTAAGTACTGCACATGCACCACGTACATTACATTAGTGCATTGGCTATAGCCACGAGCGCCCCGCACCGGACGCCGTTAGTGCTGACCGTCCAGGCAAGCAGCCCCAACACGAGCGCTTGATGGCACGTCAATCGCTGAGCGCCGTTTTTGAGAAGGAAACTCAGAGCTGCAACCCCTTCTCCTTCCATTCCCCACGGTCTGCAAGCGCAGCCCAAAGCTCTCATCCTTGATGTACTCTGTTTAATTGGGTTGCTGGCCGTCTTGGTCCCTCTATCGATGATTATGCAGGCTGAACAAGCTGAGAGGTCACTGTGTGCACCCACACTCTCGTGCTCTGGCGCCCATACGCAGCTTTCACGCACCCTTACATCTTTGTGTGTACCCCAGTCCGCAGCGCGCCCGTAGTTCGTATTGCTGGATGTGTCACTCGCGTTCTTGCCAGTTTGCACTACACTAAATCTACATTGCTCGAAAAACTAATTTTGTAAAATTATTCCTCAAATTTAGATGTTACTTCGGTTACTTCACTCCGTTTTGGTTTACACTACCACCAGTTTGGATTGGCAAAGGTGTAGACGTCTTCATGCAATCAACACTGAAAGGTATCGCAAAGAAGAGCAAGTGTTCGACAGACGATCGGACGCCAGACTACTGCGTGGAGCATCGATATTCAGCATTCCGTGCGCTGCGTAAGGCCATTAGCGACGTGGTGAGGGTTTCCAAGGACAAGAGCCACGCGCGTTGGTGCCCATACTGCTCGCGTGTACGGGAGCTCGTCCACTCTAGCATATTTCCGCCGCGCTTCCCAAACCATAATAGCATCGCTACTGTCATGGGTGTGCACGATTATTTGGTGCGCAACCGTGAACACCAGCTAGAAGCATTCATGAACCAGCTACTCCGTGCTGCAAAAGACATTTCATATCGCTTAGGGTGTACCCCATGCGAACGATTCGAGGTCGTTTCAAAACTGCTGAATGACTTCTTAGAAGAGCAGTAACACCTGCATCGCTAGCCCATAAGATAACCTTACCCAGTGAAGAAAAGATATCGATCTCAATGTACAGTAAAGCTACGTTCGTAATTCTTGTATGACCAGTTTAACCAGAAGGACTTGTCCATATAAGCATCTGCCCCCGTGCTACGTGGAATAAGCTCCCATGAAAACAGTGTGTGTGGGTGGGGCGGCTGACTTTTAAACCAAAAATGATCGGCCTATGTATTCAACATCGGGGCATAAGAAAAGCAACTGGACAACTACGGCTCAATCGAAATTGTTTATGTGATAGCATTTTTGTAGGACCAGCTGGAGAACCCTTCCAATGTCGCCAAGCTGAACAGCCTACGTTGCGGTAGCAGCTCTAGTACATCCACAATTTCATGAGAGTCTCACTGAGACGTCTGTTGGACAGCCGCCAACACAAAACTTAGTGACGTTGGAGGAAATGACTGCTACTGGGTGTGGCCTACCAAATATCGGGGAATCACAACTAAACCCACCGGACATTCCACACAAGCTGGAAATGCTTCTCGAAAGCCTCGCTCGAGTCTTTAGCCTCAGCTCGCTACGGCGACATCACCCCCGCGACGGGAGAAAACAGTGGCGTCTTCAGTGTAGTCGTTCATCACGTCGTGTACAGGCAGTTTCCACTGTGAAAGGAGTCCCTCAGGCACCGTACACGCAAACTCCGTCCGTCGAGTTCGCCATGCGTAACAGCAGACCAATCTCCCCGCCAACCTTCTTCAAGGGGGCCCGTGCGTGTTCAGACCGTCTCGGGCTGACAATGTCCATGCGGTCGTTTCGCGCACAAGACCCTGTTCAGATTGCCAAGAACGACCAGAAGAAGCTTCGCAAGGCGTTGGAACGTGCGGCTAAGCAAGAGCGGAAAGAAGCTCGCAAGAAGCAGAAACTCGCTCGAAAGTCCCACAGGTCACTGAGAGAAAGAGGTAGCAGCAGCAACCGGATCGCGCTGCTGTCGGCATCCTCCGTGTACGATTGCAGTATCACGTCAAACGAGGAGATTTTGGCCGAGATCTGGGCTATGCGCTCATCCTTCACGGCCCAAGTGAGTGATGAAGATGTGTCTGCCGCAGATGATAAAGCGGCGAGCTCTGCGCCCATAGAATTCTTGTTCTTCATGGGCTGCCCAGACGACAGCAGCCGCGAAATTGGATACCTGCGGGCTCGACCCAAATCCCGATCGGCGCGGAATACTGCGACACCGTCTTTTGCCACGGCAATTGCCACGACAATCCCGGTGAAATCGACATTGGTGTCGAACATGCCGTCGCTCTTGTGCCACGCTTTTGAAATTGCTTTATAAATGGCTCACATGTATCCGTATTCAGGGGCTAATGGTAACCAAATATCATATGATATTTTTGATAGCAATAGTACTATTTTCGATATTAAATACTAATAGTATATCATTTTGGCAAAAGTTAACATAATATTTTAATATTAGCTCGGAGAACTGAAAAATATTAGATATTACATGATATTTTATGATATTTTCCCACTTAAGTATGTTTCTTGCCACCTTACCCTGTGGACCGAGCGGAGCCAAATAACTTTTTCGATCAGGTTCTATGTAGAAAAGCAGTAGGCTTTAAGACTGACGAGTATTTGCTCAGTATTTCACTGTGACACAGACAAAGGCGATCGAGATGGAAAACTGCAAACGCTTGCAGCTGTTTAACGTTGATAGAGCGAAATCAAGACCATTCTCTTGTTCTCTACCGATCTCCTCGTCCACATCGTGCGTCTAATAAACCAGCTGCCTGTGGCGCTAGATTAATGCGCTCAGCAGTGCCAACACACGACGCCAACCTTGCCGTCACTCTCACAATTGTCCCTCCCTCACGGTTGATTAGAAATACTTCAGCTAGTCGAGCGTTAGCGACATCTGATTGGTGAATTTAGCCCGATTACGCCATCTTTGAAAAATATAATATCGTATTAACTAATATTAACTAATATTAAGTTGATATTTAATAATATCATATTGTCTCAGAAGAAAATATTAGAGAGGTTGTGCTGCTGTCATATAACAGTGAGTTTGCCTTGTGAGCTGCTATGACTTAGGGGTAGGAGATTCACTGTCAAAACTGGTGAAGACAAAGCACAGTGATGCCTTGCTCACTGTACACGCAAATTACAGACCATTCACTGGCCACGGACAGTAGCAGAAGCAAAAACGCCTTGATCTGACGCAGCGCCATGGAAGCAGGAGCAAGCACCCTCACTGACGAAGCTCTAGAAGCAACAGATAAAGATTGCGCTCCTGGGGGGGACGTCGCGGACACCGATAGAGCTGACGGAGCTCCTGGCGACGCGGCTGATGACTCCGCGCAGAAAAAGAGAAAGAAGGCCTTTCGCTTCCTTCCCTCCAGCGACGTCATTCTGTTAAAGGAGGTGATCAAGCACACGCCATGGGCTGCTGGGCACGGCAAAACAGAGGCAGCATGGGGCAAGGTCGCCAGTGGGATAAAAGCAGCTCTGCCATTGTGCACTGCCGACGGCAAAGCGTGTCGTCGTCGCTTTTACACGCTCATGGAAGTATTCAAACGAGAGGAGTTGGAGTCGTTAAGGGCATCAGGTACAACAGAAGACTACGAAGAACGAGAGCAGCTACTTACAGACTGTTTTGAGCTGGTACGATGTAATGTTGTGTTTCTTAATCTGCGTAAAGCTAAGTCATTCTCTTTCTTATATGTAGACAGAGGGACATGCACAACAAAAGGCAGACAAAACTGAAAAAGAAAAACGAGATGCTGAGCGCCGTGAAGCTGCGTCTGCTGACATAGTTCGTAGCGCCATGCAAGGCATGCGTAGCAAACGATATCTCAGCTCAGACACGGAGTTAGCTACGCCACCTTCAACCAAAAAGAAAAAGCGGTCAAGTACGGATGCATTGCTAGGTTTTCTCGAGGACCGCGCTTCATCGCGCAATAATAGACACTCGCTGAAAGAGCGGCAACTACAAATTGACGAGCGACGACTCGCGCTTGAAGAGCAGCGGCAACAGCAAGACAAGGACAAAACAGACAGAATGCTAGCGATGATGTCATCGCAAATGGGTCTTATGGTCCAGTTGATAGAAAAAATATCCAAATAAAAAGTTGAGCTGCTTATTGAAGTCCTAAGTACTGTTCAACTGTTGGTGGTGTCATTGCAAAGAATGAAGAGGTCTGGCTGCCACGCAGGCAAGTGTGTACGTTTGTCAAAAACGCACCAGCGACGTACATCTTTCCAATACGTTGCAGATAGAGCTTTTGATTTTTTGCAAAATCAACGAAAGCCCAGTAGCGAATAATTTTACCAAAGCCCCATTCAACGCTTACTCGAACCGAACTCATGCGCGCGTTAAACTCTTGTTCGTCTGCCGATAACTGTGCACCTTTAAAGGGTGCAATAATGTGCTCTTGTCTACCGTAAGCAGGATCGCCATAGAAAACAAAATGTTTTTCATCAGCACGAAGAGATTCAGCGGCCACCTCAAGCAATTCACTCTCATGAAGTATAAAAGCATCGTGGCGCGTGCCAGCATAAGGTCCGCTTAGATGAATTATGATGCCATCAGGAGCTATCACGGACTGATACTTTAGTGCGTGTTTTCTCTACGACAACAAACGAGTTTTAGTTCCAAAGCCAAACATTCACATCTAGAAAGTCTCTGACCTTGTGTCCGTTGTACATGTAGCGCTGATTACGTGTGGGACGACAGGTTCCTCGTACTGTGCCATCTATAAACCCGACGCAAGTTTGTAGAGGGGCTCCTTTAGCATGCACGGCCTCGGCGTACGCCGAAAGTGTGTCAGCATTTAGTCGTGAATGGTCGAATTCTAGGATATAGTTGAATTTGTCGTAAATAAAGTCAAGAACGGCATTAGAAATGGACGAAATCGCAGTGGTATCACGTCCGAATAGGTCTTCTAAGTCGCCGAGCCGTACTGGGTAAGCCATTCGCCGTAGGAAGATACATAGCGCTTCAAGCGCTGCAACATTATATCGCTGTGTAGTAGGGAAAGGCTCAGGTAAACCAAAAAGCTGTACAAGCAGCATAATTTCCTCCTTGTCAAATCGGAACTTCTCGCGCCAGACTGGATCAGTCTGAGATCGTTCAAAATTGAACCGGGAACGTGAAGGTCGATTGGCTTCGCGCATGAGGAGCACAGCGACCACAACATCATCATCTTCAGAGCTACTGCTCTCACTGTCCATTCCTTCCTGTTATTTTTGAAGGTGACAGCAGCACAAGGTTTTTCTAACGAACAATCCCCTTCAAATCGGATATCTCCTCACTGGGCAATTTCGCAGTTTTGTAACAGTTGCACAACCTCTCTATTAGGAGATATTTTTTATATTAACTGGTCAACAGGTGATATTTTCACAATATTAACTTCACCGATTTTGGAGTTACCATTAACCCCTGGCCGTATTAGCTTATCCGACAGCAGTGGTAAGATACCGGTAACCAACAAGCACCTTTCATTCTGTAAATGGCAACACTCGATGATGATTGGTTGTAAAGCGATATATTATTCTGTACGACTGTAGAGAAAACCACTTCAAATTGATTACAGTATCTAGGACTGGCTACCCCTTTGTCACAAATTGTATCTTACGACAATTGTAGCACCATCCCTAAAGTTTGCCACCTCTGGAGAGCTCTGTCTTTCGTGCTACGCGTGCCTGATCATCCGTCTGCAACGTCTTCATGACCATTACCGCCGAATACCAGCACAGCACATATCGGACTGTTCTTTCGCGTTTTGCATACGTCCAACGCTGCCGGGGACTAGGCTGTCCCATCTTAATAACATGACCACATGAGTATCGTGGGCTCGCGTACACGTCAAACCTCAAGCGTCCATGTTCACCGCCGACTTTCTGCGAGGACTGACGTTCCAAGTCGGAGCTTCCGACGGTGCGATTCACCATCTTCAGCCTGCATCCGGGACAGCACAAGCCACACATAGTGCGAGTCGCACTGCGCCGGAATAACGAGGCAGCTCTGCATCTCGTCCCAAAGCTTTGATTAAAAGCTTGAAGCCTCATCGATGGCGACGAAAAGCGTATCGTCCATGCCCGGTGCCGCGAAAACAACTTGCAAATATGGCGTTTTTCGGCGCGACAGCGTCGTCGTGGCGCAGCACAATATTTTAAAAGCCTCAGTGTCGCGGCTCGAAATCAGATTGTCAGGAGAAGTTTGCTTTTTCAAAAGAAAGCACCAGTTAAGCCTCACAAAACGGCGCTGTCTTTTGGATACACTTAAGCGTCGACTTAAGTACTTTAAATATTCAGCAAAGTATATAATTTTATTTTTTAAAATTAGTTTCTTGTCGATCAGCACTTGAACGGGAGTAGTAGCGACATGCGGCACACATAAACGGGCCGAAAGGCAAAGAACCAATGATACAACCAGACGCGAACCCATGTTTCCTCATTCTCCCAGTTCCCCGCGAAAGCTAAGCTCTTGCCTAATGCCTGCAACAGAATCCCAAGCCACTCCGGCCCCGGTGCCGGCGCGTCCACGCGCACCTCCCCCGCCGGTGCCGGGATTCCCTCCGCAGCCAGCACCTGAAGCCGAACCGGAGGCCGCACCAGAGAAAAAGCAGCAACCAGCCGAGCCCGTTCGCGACGCTGCCGCCGATCCGCCAGCAAAACGCAGGCACAGCGGCCTCATGCGTGCCATCGGCGGCCTCTTCAAGCGCAAATGCAGCGACGCCGACGACGCCACGGCACCTAGCGATAGTGAGGCCTCGCAGCGCCGCACGTCGCGCTGGTCACGCTGGTCCCATTCGCATCGCGGGTCGTTGCCCGAAGCGCCGCTAGACGTGGCGGCTGTGGCGGCCCCTGAGACTGCCCCCATCCAAGAGAACGATTCAGTGGCTACCTCGCCTCACACTGAGGAGTCGCCGGCCAAGAAGGCGAAGAAGGCTAAGGTTGAGCACCCTAAGCCGGAGAAGAAAGCCAACCCGCTGCCTTTCAACAAGACGAAACAGTCACCCACGGACCCGTCAGACCTGCTGCTCGCCGACTCGAGTGACGAGTCAGGTGCAGAACCTCAACGCGTTTCCTTCCTCTTCTTTGGGGGCAGCGACACTGACAGTACGTTCCAGCCGGAGCTGAGGCCGTCAGAGCTGGACGATCTCCACCAGAACGATATCCGACCGTCGCTGCAGGCCAAGATGCCGCTCTTCTTCTCGCCGCCCTTGGTGGAGAATATGCGTCGCAGTAGCATCCTGCCCGACCCGAAGGAGTACGAGTTTTAATCTTATGGGAAAGCTATCTACGCAGAGAGGAAGTGAGCAACTGAGAATGACGCCTGGCGGGTTAGCGTCGGATGATTTTTAAATATTTTTTGGTGTAACAAGTAGCAGTAGCGTTAACATAACGGATAGAGGGGAGACGGCAGAGTAAGTTTCGGAAATACAGACACCACAGACACCAACTCACGTTGCATTTTGAGTGGGTGCTTTTGATGGGGAAGGTCTGAATTGCAGCCATTTGAGATATAATACACGAACGGGAGGAGACACAAGGTGATGAAATTGATCCGGCGAAAGACTATGGATTCATGGTTTGTCCGCCATTTTGCAGCGAGCGTATCTTCTCGACGTAGCGACGCTACGAGCACAGTCTTATTCAAAAGCAGCTTGTTCGACCCGCAGGGTTTCCTTGACGTTCCCCTGGCCATTCGCTTGGTAAACCACATTATCAATACAATATGTAGTAATAGGAGCCACATGAAGCTCCTAATGAACTGCGTCCGGCTTGCTGCTGGTGCTGAGTCAGAGTCCCATATGGCCCCATCGCAGCACACCAGCCTGCTGGTCAAGATTCTTGAGCTGCATCAACCAGACGATACCAACAAACTCACATCCATTTTCATTTAAGTCCCACTACACACCGGAGTAGTAGCGCTGACTGAGTCGGTAGCTGAGCTATCTACTGTTCCAGGAGTATTATAGCAATAGTCCCGACGCATCGCGCCCCTATCTGTTTCGATCCGTGGTATTGCAGTGACTGTATCAATGCAACTTTTATAGTCAGCGCCTTGAGCTGTGCAAGTATCCCTTTCCTCTACAACAGTACAACCAGTGGCTATTGACACTAAAAGTATTCAGACAAACGAGATGTTCAACGGTTGCTTCTATGACCATGAATGCACCCTGCCCTGCGACGCTTGTGTGGAGGGGGGGAATATCTCTGAGCTGTGTGCTCTATCGGACGAAAGTCCCTCCTCGCACAGTCAGAAAAGACGCGGCCATTGACGGACGAACTCGTCTTCGCCCTCACCGCTGCTCAATTCACACGCCCTCCTCTGCATAACCATTATCTATCAGAGCTCTGTAGTAGTGGAAGACAACAACTCGTCAAATCGCGCTCTACAGGAAACAGGAACGACTGCAACGGAGACTTCTGGTGATCAAAAATGGGACTGTCCGAATTCTTCCATAGCGTTTGGGACTTCGTGTGTCGGCCTTTCGAGGACTGTACCAGTTGCTGCGATGTACTAGACCCCGACTACTACCGCAAGACATCGCCCGGTGTGCACAGGTCTCCGCAGATGTTCAACCGCTGGGAGCACGGCGTCAAGTACAATATCACCTCGTCTCGCCCTCCGTCGTCGCTCCCGGCATTCTCGAGAAGCCACGTAGGTACGAGAGAACAGCAGTCGAAGACACTGTCATCGTCAGGATCGAGGTCGGGATCACGCTCGGATTCGCCCTCAAATTATTCGTACGAGGAAGAAGAGGAGGAGAGGCAGGTGCAGTTCTTGTTCTACGGCGGCAGCGATCCCCCCACGCCCACATCAGTAGGAGACCTGTATCCGAGCGGCGGGTATCGCAGCGACATGATCTCTAATTACGTGGAACCTATGAGCCCGGCAGCGTCGATTGAATCACCTCGAATTAGCCATGAGATGCCGTGCTTCTTCTCGCCGAGGAACACACCGCTACAGTCTCCAATGTCAGCACCGATCTACTCTCCGCATCTCTTTAAAATCTCCGAACAGCGAATGTCGCGACGCAGTACAGGTTACTACAACATGCGCTACTCCAGGTGAGCGAGATCGTTATATGTAAGAGTGCGTGCATCTCCGCGTCCTCCCCAATTATCTATATCGGCCTCTAGCCTAGAGTCTAGGGGGCGTAATACAGGAGTCTTCCTTTCTGCATCTGCTCATTATCTATCGTATTGGCGCTTTTGACTGAGGATAGTCGCAGCTTGCGTCCCAACGTGGCAGCGCCATGTTGTAAAGCAAGTGGTGAGACCGTTTCCAAACCAACGTCTCACAACTGACCATCACCATGCTCCGAGTCATTCGGCGAGTGGGTACTTTCGCATTGGAGCCCTAAAGCCATGAAACCAATTATTGGAGACTTGGTTGTCGACCAAAGGCAGCAGCCACGCCATGCAAACACGCTGGATTTTACCACCGCGAATGAAATGCCTCATTCCGCCAGGGCAGGTGTCTGTGAAATTAGAGCCATGGACGCAAACGGGAGAATCTAACGAGGGCCCTCGTTAGATTCTCCCTGTCCAAACATGAGTCCTGCGATTTGTTTGCGAGATCGCCCTGAATGGAACTTTGATTACCGAGCGACGGAGGCCTGGTCCCTACATTTCTGCCCAGCTGTAACACTTGCTTGAAGCGAGCGACCAGGTCTCCGCAGCTTCTCTGGCTCACCGACCAGAGCCATTCCATAATGGCTTCTAAGGCTCGAACCTGATGGAATTTACTCGGTAAAGTCCAGCGTGTTGTCATTCCCCAATTTGACTCGAGCAACTCGAATCAACGTTCCGCAATAACGTACTAAAATCCACAAGCCCAGTAGCTCTATCATGCGAGGTTTCATGCGTGCCATCGGCCTCGGAGGTCTCTTCCGTCGCTCCGCTAATTCCACAGCCAAAGCCTCAACAGCAACCAACACGGCGGGCAGCTTCCGTGTGCTGACGCTCGAGCAGTTCCAGAATTTGACGACGGTAGACAACTCGTCGGTCTTCGAGGCTCGTCGAAGCAGCTCCACCAACGAGCGCCCGCAGTTCCTCTTCTTCTGCGGAAGTGACAATTCCGCGTACCCGTCGAGCGAACTCACCTCGCCCAACGGCAGCACGTTGGCGTCTCGTTTTGCAAGTATGAAAGCCCCCACTCCTGTACAGCCGGTTATCGACCACCACATGCCCGTGTTCTTCATGCCGCCACTGCCCCCCTCTCGCCCCTCTGTCGGGGTCGGATTCGCAGGCTGCTAGTCGACTTTGAGTCGACGGTCTTTAATTTGTCTCGGTCACCCTCTTCCTTCTCTCAAGCACCAGAACACACCACAAGAGGATGATTCAACTTTTGACATGAAGATGCAGCCACCCCACAGCGCTGAGAAGACGGATTTCTTCTCGCTCGGAACTGAAGAAACAGTTCACATCTCTATCTTCGACTCTCTGGTTGACCGCAGCACTGGCGATCGAAGCCAGTGCATCAAGCAAGTGATCAAGCAGATGCTCAAGATTCATCCTCAACTTCAGAGCGACCACGCTTCGAGATTCTTTCAACTATCTCGTTATGCCATTCGATCGACCTCCGAACGAAGGAGTGAGATCGAATAATTTCGTCCCCCAGACGCTTCCGCGAACGTAGCCTCAGCAGCATTTTTCTTCAAAGGACCCCCTACGCTAACTTGATTCAACCAGCTCCAAGTCGTTCGGGGAGGTTGCAGACGTGCAATTTACTCCCCCTGGCCCGACGACAGAAGCGAACCACGATGGAGATCAAGCAGCTTAATACTCTAACCAGCATTTCTCACCTGAAGGACATGCGAATCATTAAACTTTTGTACTGCAGCGAGATGCTTACAGACCTGTCTCCCATTTATAGCATTGCCATATTTCTCGAATATTTCTATCAACCGTGTTGATCACCAGCTTTATAAAAGGTCAGTCTCCATTTCATAAATTTATTTGAATTGTCTTTAAGGACATGGCTCCCCCCCCCTTGACAGGAAACGGACCCCGGTGATCCCAACTCTTGAATCACGAAAGTGGAAAAGTGTCCTCGTACGTATCTTCGGACAGTTGAACCACGGTTCAGCTCTCGGGTTTGCCGTACCAGACCTGACCTAACGTTTTCGGGTCTGTCGGCTGCTTTTTTGTGGCTTCAGGAGCCTTCAGTCGAGACCACCCTAAGCGCCACGTTCGCTGACCTCGAACTCGGAGGATTAGTAGTGCCATTGGTAGAGCAAGCTGGCCGAAGCATCTTTAGCGTTAGTGCCATTGGTAAGCTAGCGTCCCTGCTTTCACCGAAACTACATGTAGTATCTTGGGCAAAGAAAACAGCAAACTCCTGAGTTTTAAAGCCATACCGGACACCGTGGTGGTCGATGAGAACGAACCAAGGGTTTCAACATCCCATGACAGTCCAAGCACCTCTACAGAGCCAATTATCTTCAGCAAACAGAGATTTCGATGGTACGATTGATGATCTTGAGTCTGGATCCTGTACAGTGTTCTACACAAACACGAGCTGATTATCGTATCATTTTCCCCACCGTGTTACGACCCTTATCCTTCAAAGAAGAGCAATGAAGTAGCTGGCTGTCTACTGGAACAGCTCGGGGGTCTGCTCCTCCACATACAGCAACGTCGAGTTTACCTTCTTCTCCCAGCCATCCAGACGAGTCACGAGCTCCTGCAGTTGCGAGTTGTCCAGCACACGAGGCTGCACCCATGTGACCCGTACGATGCCGTCCACCTGGTCGAGGGATCCCTTGATGAGCTTGCAGGACAGTGCACGCATCACGAGCCACTCGACTTGTTCCAACGGCAGACGCGTAGCCTCTGCGATCTCGTGGAACGGGATGTTGCGCTCATGCGATGGACGCTGGAACACCAGCACCATCAGGGCCAGCAGAGCCACCTTCTCCTTGACGTACTCCTGCTTGCTCACCAGCGCTGGCTGGGCGTTGAATTCCTTGCTGTTCTGCCCCACAATCTCATTGAATCGGTCGATGTCGCCCTTGTTGAACGCGTGCAATAGGTCCGAGAGCCACTGCTTGTCCGTGTTTTCCAGTGCGCGCAGGATCGGGGTCGCCAACTGAAAAAATAGCATTTAAAACGTCAATATCACCGTCCAGAATCTCATTTTTCATCGTAATGTCGTACCACTTCGCCGAAGTTAAAGACGCCGTCGCCAGTGAGTGCAGCAATGCTGATGTTGACGGCCAGATCGAAGCGCTCGTTGGGACGCATCTCGTCGTACTGCGTGTAGGCCAGGAACATGAGCGCGTTCTTGTAGAACTTGTCGGCTGGTCCCAGTGCGCTGTAGTAGTCGCAAGCCACGCGGTAGTACGCGGCGTGAACTACTGGCTCAGCACCCACAAGACCCTCGACCACCTGCTTGTCGTCGTCCACTGTGGCCTTCACTTGGGCCAAAAAGTCGGCGCCGCGACGGAATTTGAGCTGTGCGATCTGCATCTTGCATAGCAGAACGGCCTCGTGCGCTGTCTTGGTGCTTAGCTGGCCTAGAAGCTGCTCCATGAACTCCTGAGCCTTGGCAGGGTCGGCGAACTGCGTGCTGATCTCGGTGCAGATGACCACCAGGCGGATCTGGTTGAGTTTGTCCTGAAAGGGGCGGATGAACTCCTGGTAGAGTTTGGCAAGGTTTTGTGGGTGTTTGTGGCACATCGGATCGCGCACAAAAGCTTCGAGCTCGCCCGTCAGCTCATGGTAAAGTCTGCAGAAAATTTGAGCAAACATTTAGTCAAGTTTGGTAAAATAAAAGCATTTGCGTGGGTTTTTGTAGATGACGGAGGAGGCGTTAGACGTACTTGCGGACGTGCAAGTCCTTGAGCTTCTGGTAGCGCTGTGCGATGTCTGGGTACGCGGCCTGTTCCTTGGCGATGAAGTCTGTCATTGTCGTCTGCTGCCTGGGGAATTTGGATCCTTGCGATGAATGAGGGGGCAACAGACCCTGTGACCTCCTATATATCGGATTGAACAGTAAATAAATAGATAAAGGTTTAAAGCTGTTTGCTGGCCCAGACGACAAGGTTATCCACAGGAGTCCAGCGCGGCATGGGTATTAGTAATAGTAACTGGACGAGATCTCGCCTCACCGGGAGCTCGAACTTCTCGCCTCGCTGTTTTTTTGGCGACGGATGTTTCCCATGATTTAGGATTTGTTCTCCTGGCGTAAATTTATCTTAAACATGCATTCAGTTAGCAAATTGTTCGAAATTTATTATGTTACGCAGCTTGGCCGACTTGGACGTGTCTTACGACTAGGAAGGTCATGGCTCATAGCCCAAGTGTCCTTTTCATACTGACCAACATGAAATGTACACGCCAGATACTTCTTCCGCAGCATCTTTCATACAACCATCACAGCGTCGCCGTCGCCTTCTGAGCGCGCTCGAGGACCCATAAAATGCAATCGGCCGTTCGGCAACTGGCCGTCGTCCAGTGTCATGGCGCCGTCCACAAATCGCACCTTTGACCTCCTCGTGTCATTCACTCGCCCCTTAACACTCGAAGACGGAGGGCCCAGGTGAGTGGGCGGGACGAATAAACTCGTCTTCGCTGCAGCAGCCATAGCTGCAGCACTTGCCCCTACCGACTGCGGTCGACGAATGACCGGAGGCTTGGGTCCAAAGTCGAACCCTGGGTGTTCCAAGTATGGCCGGTATGGGGGTCGTATTCCTTCGGTTGAGGATACATCCACGGCTGGTAGAGATGGAGGCCAATCCTCAATAATATGCCGGACTGACTGCTCGTTGCGAGACTGAAAGCGTGTTAACAGCTTCCGTGCCGAATCCATCGAAATGTCTGGCAATTTTCGCAGAGCTGCGGACTCCACCAGCCTCATCAGCTCGTCAAATGTCATCAGCACCCCCAGTTCGGCACGAGCCACGACCACGCGCATGATTCCAGCCTCGTCACTAGGGTGGAAATAGTCGCTCGTGCCTTTTGCGTGCACTGCTTGCGCACGTTTCTTGACACGTCGATGGAGAGCTGCGAAGTGCACACCATACAGCTTGGCGGCTGCGCGGAGACTCATTCCCTGCTGTTCCACCGCCGCAATGGCTTTCTCCCACGTCTCGGCGGACACTGTGTGGCTCAGCTTATAGCCGCGGTTGTCATTGTACGATGACGCGTCGGATGTCGTGTCCTGCATCTCTTCCATGCTGCTCGCATTGTTGCTGACTGCGTGTTGACTGCTGGGTTGCGTCAAGCTGGTCTCAACTCCGAGGGCAGGTCCGACGTCGCCATCCCTCTCACCTCTCGGACTGTTGCTAGGGTCAGTCGTCGCGTCATTCTCGCTGCTGCTGGTGGAGGCATTCAATCGCATCTCCTCGTCGCCCCCTGATGAATCTCTCAAGGGCATCGACCATGCGGCTGCACGTCGATGGCCATCTACGAGGATGGCACGACGCTGTTGCTGCTGTAGATGCTGTTGGTGGCGCTGGCTGAAGTTGCGCTGGATCTCATTGTTAAACCGTGCTCGGGGACCCGGAGGGGGCATGGAGGACATGACCGCGTGAGCTGGTTTCGAGGATCTCGAGCCGTTTCTATCTTTGCTCGTCTCTTTGTCACCTTCAGTCGTGTTGCCCCTCGCATGCGCCGTGGTGGAACTTGAGCTATTATTACTGTTCATATTGGTCGGATTAGCAGTAGGTGTGATTGTAGTGGTGTAGGTATTGTTGGTTGGAGCTACTGCGGAACGAAGTGGAGCCACTTCGAGTCGAGCAGGCAGCCCAAATGCAGCCGCCGCCTCGACGCCACTTCTGCTGCGGCTGGACGCCGCACCGAATACGAAGTTATTGAAGTACATGAAGCCGTGCACACGCTTGAACTCGAGCACCCAGCCGGACGGAGGGAAGTCGAGTGGGAGCGCCACAGCGCCGCCTTGACTAGCCACGGTGCGTATTTCCATCCGCACGTCGTCGGACGTTATGCGCTTCTGGTGGCGTAGTTTCTCCATGAGCTTGCGCAGTGCCTCCTTCTCGTCCGCCTCGCTTAGGTAGCGGCGCACGCATGCGGAGGACAAGTCTCGATGGTGGAGGTTCATATGATGAGACATCAGACCCGGAGAGTCTCACTCGACTTGTCACGAAATGAGCCACAAAACACACTTCTGTTTTAGTTCTGGTCGGCTTGTTTTCGCAATTTTGACATCGTAAGTATTTGATTGTCACCTGTTTTCAAGAATTATCAGCTCTGTAAGGATTTGATTGTCACTTGGGCTCAGTAATTAGGTTAGTTAAACATACTGTGTGTCTTTGCCACCGACGCTGATTTCCAACGAGGTCGTACGCTCATTCCCAGTATTGAATAATTTATACTTCCTTGGTCCCAATACTGTACATGTAAGATATTTATCGATCAGTTTCAAATTTGAGCGACTGCTAGAATTCGGGGCTGTTCGGCCGTGATCGATTCGATCATCAAGGAGTCGCACCCAACTTGGATGCTCCAAGTTGATTATTGCTGTCAGCAATTTGCTGGCATGCGTCAATGATTTGATGGTGTTGCGTTCTCCAGTGCAACAAAACCTCTATCAGTGGATACAGTACGTTTTGTATTGCACATGCTTCTCAGTTTATAGTACAACTGCCCAATCACTGCAACATAAGATGTCAAACATCCTCTGTAGGTGCATGTACATTGCACTTTATCGAGCACGTACTCTATCTACAGTAGCAGTAAAACCATCAATGACATGACGTATCAACTATACATGTAGTCCAACCGGTGCGTCACTTGGACGCATGCGTCATGCTCGACAGAACATGCCAAACACATGTATTTACTGTTTCAGCACACAGCAAATCATTTGACTTGACTTATGTATGCTTTTGACCCTCTGAGTGTCGCAATAAGACATAATCGACGATTAGAGGTCACAGCAGAAAAGGGACCAGCCGCGCTTCGCTTGGCTGGGCGCCCCTTCGGCGCCCCCGCGGTTCGCTGCGCTCGCAATATGAAGATATAATGTTCTGGAAAGTGTAGTGCTCGGCTCGCTGGTGAGCTCAGCGCTGGGCCCGCCTCCGCAAATACCGCGCGGCCCTGCTTCGCGGGCTCTCCGCGCGGGTTTGCTGCGGCTACGCGCCTCGCACCCGCTCCGCGGCTATGGCACCCACGTCGCCCAGCCCCGTGTGTGTTATCCCAGCGATGGACGTGTGTTTCTCCTATTTTCTCGTCATGCTCTAAAGGCTATTACCACTGACATTACTGAACTTAAGTTCAGTGCGACCAGCTGTTCTTTGAAAAGGTTAACTCAACGTGTCATTACTTTCTTGTTAAGAACTTTTTTTTTAGCTTGCTCGTCCTACAATCGTCCTACCTGAACAATCTCAAAAATATTGTGTTACGTACACAAAAAATCCACTTGTCGGCCAAGCCGACGCCGACCCGCTGATGATGAGCCGTGGCTGCGCCGCGGCGGACGTATCCGTACGCAGATACTTGAGCGAGGCAGACGAGAAGGAGGTGCTACGTACGCTGAAGGAGAAACAACGCCACCAGACACGCATCACGTCGGACGACGTGCGTCAGGCGGTGCGTGCCGTGGCCAGCAAGGGCGGCAAGGTGCTGCTCCCAACCGACTTCCCTCCGTCCGGCTGGGTACTTGAGTTCAAGCGTGCACATGGCTTCGTGCACATCAATAGTTTCGCGTTCAGCGCAGCAGTCAACAGTAGCGGAAAGGCAGCGGCCGCGTTCAGGCTGCCAGACAGGCTCGAGGTTCCGCTCCGTTTCACAGCCCCCGATCACATATCAAGCGCCAATACAAGCAGTACCTATGCCGCAGCCAATGGAAACAGTCACAGGAACTCGAGTACCAGCGTGGCACAGACCAGTGGTAGAAGCCTGAGCAGCGGCAACGCCAGCGACGTCGAAAAAGAGACGAGCACGGACAGACGCATCTTTAGCTCTTCGGATGCAGCTCACGTAGTCATGTACTCCATGTCCCCTTCAGGTCCTCGTACACCGTTTGACAGTGAGATCCAGCGCCAGACGCAGCTGCGTCACAGCTTCAGCCAGCGCCACCAACGGCATCTTCAGCAGCAACAGCGTCGTGGCATTCTCGTGAGCGATCATCGACGCGAGGCAGCACGGTCGGAACCCGCGAGAGATTTATCCGTGGACCATGAGGAGATGCGATCGAGTAGCCAACATGAGGACGGTACAAGCACTGGCTCTTCTACCTGTGCCAGAGGCGGTGGAAATGGTGTTGGCGACCTTTCGTCTTTTCACCGAGAACGTATTAGGTTGATGCACCCCCACAACAGACAAGCAGGCAGCGATAATGGGAGCAGCATGGACGAAATGCAGGACGCAGCGCCCGTGGCGTCGTCGGCTAGCGACAAGCGTGGATACAAGCTTAGCCACACTGTGCCGACCGAGACGTGGGAGAAAGCCATTGCGGCGGTAGAACAGCAGGGAATGAGTCTGCGCGCGGCCGCCAAGTTGTATGGTGTGCACTTCGCGGCGCTACATCGACGTGTAAAAAAGCGAGCGCAAAGTGAAAAGACAAAAGGCACGACCGGGTACTTCCACCCTAGTGATGAGGCTGGTATCATGCGCGTGGTCGTGGCTCGTGCCGAACTGGGTGTGCTGATGACTTTTGACGAGTTGATGAGGCTGGTGGAGGCCGCAGCGCTGCGAAAACTGCCAGACATTTCGATGGATTCGGCACGGAAGCTGTTAACGCGCTTTCAGTCCCGCAACGAGATGTCGATCCGCCATATTATCGAGGACTGGCCTCCACCTCGGCCTGCAATTGATGCGGCAATTGGTGATCAGCATCAGCCTTATTTAGGACATCCAGGCTTTGATTTCAGGACAAAACCCACAGGAACGCGAGGGACGTCCACGGCGGCAGCAGTTGTAACAGCGACGTCGAAAACGCTCTTTGTTCCCCCAATACGCTTAGTGCCGAGCACCGTCAATTATGGATACGAACCCACGAGTCCTGGGGTGCGGCTTACGGACACTATGAGGGCGATGGAACTTGAAACAACGAAAATGATGTGACCATCGCTGGCCGGCCGAACACGTAGCATACTGAAGTACTACCGTGCTTACAGCTGCTATTTATCCACAACACTTTGAAATTATCACTAGTAAGGACGTCGCAGATTCTGAAGTTAGGATGGTCTTTCTTCCGTGCTGTCTCCCCTAAAAGAGCATTTCCACGAGTATACATGTAGTAAAGAAAAGGTAAAAATCCCCTAGTTTGGGGTGCGACCAAGCAGCGTTGTAAATTTACTCCTGGAAATTTCGCACTGGTTCACAGTAAAATTGAAGTAAAATGGGTTGCGAAGCGTCTTGTGCAGCTATATGATCGAGGCAAACACCATGCAGAACGGCGTAGAATAACGTACGATTTCGCAAATTTCTCGCCCACGAGCGCTAAATGGCCCAAAAGAAAAATATGTCGACTCACATCCACCTGCCTGGCTCACCGCCATCGTCGCGGTGCAAGCCTTGCACTGCAAGCACATTCAAACACATTGCTGATTTTGTTGTTGTCATACACATCTATCCAAGATCCCATTGGCCAAACTGTGTCGTATACCTCCTCTTCCTTCAAGGGTCGGTTAGTCCGCGGCTGTTCAGGGAAACGGTCTTGTTCAGTGGTTGCAGGAACGGTAGATGGGAACACTTGTAAGATGAAATAGAAATTTGTTTATTTGGCTTGGCTTCCTCTTGAGTAGAAGGAGGGAAATATAAGACTGAGAGCTAGCTGGAAGAGAGGCTTAACACCTTCTCGACCTTACATACACTACACTACTTCTTATACTAAAAGAAGAATTCACTTCGTTTGTCGCCAGTCCTCGTGGGACAACAGGGAGCTCTGGAAAGGGGCTTAATGACGCGAGGTGCTTGGGTCCGACGACGCCAGGACACCGGCGTTCTGAGATCACCTTATAGGACCACCCTAACGGGCTCGGTCAGGGGCACGTGCGTCGTCGGGTTCAACGGGAACCATCCTGACGGGACGGCCGGGCGAGGAGTGACTATAGGGCCTCGAGTTATCCCGTCGGGAGGCAGAGCTCCAGGAATGACCCCTCCGTTCCCGGGTACGGGACATCCTCCCCGACTTGTCGTTTGCCGTCCTCGGCGAGCGGATCCTCTGCGTACATTCCTCACGTTAGCCATATTGACTCCGTCGTTAGTAACTTCGACTGATAGATGAGGATGGAACGCCTCAGGGTAGTCCTCGGTGCAGTCCCCAATGTAGTCAGGGTCGGCGGCCTAAAAGTCATAGAACACTTCGACGTCGTCGTCGACCCGTAGACGTTCGATGTTCCGAGCTTCGGCCATACTACGTTTGGAAGCGTTTCGGCGAATACTTGCCAAAGCTAGTTCAACCAGTACTTTAGGGGAGACGGTTCGTAGGGGGCTTCCCTCGTCGTACCGACGACAAGCGTGGGATACTACAACGGCGACCACCACGATAAGAGTGTCGGCGAGGCCCCAGCCGTTCCACTCGAGGCAGTAGTTGGAAGTCAGTAGGAACAACAGTGCAGCCCCAACACCCACGGGTCCCAGGAGTACGAATTCCACCAGATCAAACACGTTGACTGGGATGTATAGCAGCAGGGAAAGGCATAGTAGTACCAGCCATCAGGCGGCTTCTCCTACAGCGTACAGGCGCATCCAGGTGGCCTTGAGAGCGTCCCAGAAAGCGTACCAATAGCGTATGCTCGAGTCTCTTGTACGGAGGAGGACTTCCGGAATGTAGTCGGAGAAGGTCACCTTGCCGGCGATCCACCAGCTCCGCAACGTCCGTCCATAGCGACCATACCTTTCTTCTCCTTTGAGCAGAACGATAGGAGGCACAGTGAATAGTGCACGCCATACCCCATACACGTAGGTAGCGCCTCGGAGTTGTCGAAGTTCGCTCGCTTGAAGCACGTCTCGGTACAACGACGCACAGTCGCCCCAAATATCACAGTTCATCTTGACCACACGCCACACTTGGGTCAGGAACTCCCAGGTAACGTTGCGTAGAGGAGTCGGTAGGACCCAGCCCGTTACGGCTCCTACGTACACAGGCCACAGCTCCCAGCGGGCACTCGTAGAAAACGCTAGCTTGAGGCTCCATTTAGCGGAGAGAACTCTCGGCAAATAAGAAATTGAGTACACCCGAGGTGAACCTTTTCGAAGTTGTTCGACTCCCATCAGTCTTAGTCGTTATCCATCACTCAAGTCCTGTTGCTGGAAAAGGAGAACCCCGATTCCTCGTCCCTTTCAAGAGGCTCTCTTGCACCCAATACGCAGTTATCACAGGAATTTTGGGAGAGACGGAACTGGAGGTCCAGGTACCGACGGTCAGTCTTTCGACTCATTCGGCAATTTTGCCTCGACCCCAGACACTTCCCTCGGCACCCTCCCTCTTCGCTACCCCAGTTATGGGCACTCCGCGCGGTAAGGCGCCCCGCAGACTCAAGGCCGTCTGGAACGTCGAGTCGTCCGACTCCGACGGTTCTTCTTCCGACGATACTCCGGCCGACGAGCGCTTCTGGGTTCTCATGCGTGACATCCTTGCCGCAACGCCAGCTCCATCGGCCTCGAGCTACTGGATGACATCGTTGTCGCAATCTTGGACGTCACGGGGAACGCCGCGGACGCTTTGACTGGGCCGGTAGTGATCATGCCCAAACCGTCTCGGCAACTACTCGCGGGAAGCCGCCTCAGCACCCACGCTTCACACAGGACTGTCGATTTCCGCTCAAGAGCGTCAGTTCCGGCTCGACGAAGAAGAAGACGATTACGGAGAGACCTCGCTCCGGTAAGAAGCATCTGAGCCACCAATGGCCTTCGTCCTTGCTGCCGTTTAAGCTGTCGGACACGACTCCTTCTCCAATTGTCGACGACTTGAAGAGGATCTATTACGAGGCGGCCGAGCTTGGTCAAGAACCTTACCAGCTAGCTTATCCGTGGCCGGGTTCGCACTTGTGGTACAACCCACATGCGTATCCGCACGTGCACGCTTCTCACTGGCGTTTCTGGAATGAGCACCGTTCCAAGTTCTGGGACTGGCAGACAAACGTTCCGTTGAAGATCTCCAACGCCCAGACTCAGCGTCGTAAGGCCTAGATGGCGGCGGTGGTCGCGCGCGTCTGGTTTATGAGTATCTGTATCGAGACCTGGGGCTACTTTGGCTTTCTTCGCTTATTCATGAGCTGCGCGCACCGACGCCGTCTTATGTGGATGGGGGAGCAGCCAGGTCGGAACGCTCCAGACGCCAAGTCCTACAACGATCCGGTCATCGACAACCTGTCTAAACTCTACTCGCGTGACTCGGGAGCGTACTCGCGTAAAGTGATAAGCGCTCTTAAACCGTTCCGGATCGCTGAGGGAGGCTTCACGACCGTCAAAGAGTTGTTGGAGCACACCGGATCCCTGGACCCGAACAGCTCGAAGCCGGACAGTCAGCTCACAGATCTGGCCCTAGCTCTCGCTCTGCTGGACATGAAGTCGAAGGAGGACCACGAACCCTATTGGGTTGGAGACCGTTCGAAAGGGGTCTGGCATGCGCTAAGCCACTGCCCTCGACTCCAGAAGATGTCGGCCACGCTTTCGCGCGAACGAGAGAAAGGAGCCCTTCGGACACACAGAGTAACTCCTCTAGACTCGTCTGAAGCGGACTCTGCGGGATACGCGGCTTACGAGCGTACCGACGGTACTTACACGGCGGTCTGGGAGGAAGCGAGTGACGAAGAGTCAACTTACGAAGAGGACGAAGCCGAGAGTGACTCCGAAGAACTCCGCTCCGTTAAGAAAACGCTGCGCCTGTCCTCTAGTTCAGACGAGAGCTCGGATGACGACAAGCGCCCCAACAAGCGTCCGCAGCTCTCCCACAAGCCTCTGAAGTCGAAGGAGCGCGCGAAGCGTTCCCGTTCTCCGTCACGAAGTGCTACCTTCCTGAAAAAATCTTGTGTTAGTTCGTTGCGCAAACGGTCCCCTTCACCCCCACGCGCTAAAGGCAAGCTCAAAGCGCACGCCGCTTCGCCAGAACGTTCGGTATCTCCCCCACGGTCGCGATCGAGGTCCCCAGTGCGCAAAAAGTCTCCGCGGTCACGCTCGGAGGAGTGTTCGGCTTCCCGGTCGAAGTCCGCGACTAAGCCCTCGGCCACTAAGGCGAGTAAGGAGTCCAGGCGGGATAAGGCGAGGTTACCTTCACACGCGAAGGGGAACGAAGCCACTCCCGATAAATTAACCGACGGTAAAACGACGACTTCCCCGCCAGTCCAAGCGTCGCGAGACGGTACGCGCAAACGTTCGCATTCGAGCTCGGCATATTCGTTGAAGAAGGCAGTGTCTTCTAGGAGACGCTCGGTCACGCGGTCTCCGTTGGCACCTCGGAAGTCGAGCTCACCGGGAGAGCACTCTGCTTCCAACTCGCCGACTAAAAAATCCGACAAAACAGCCTAACGTAGGGCCGTCGAGAAGTTAGTGATCCGTACGCGCCCAGAACCGTTCTCACCGGAAGAGCGTAGGTGTAGTGGTATCGTTTTCTTTTAAGTTTCTTTTTGATTTTCACCACGATTCATTCCTCATTTATCGTTTTCGCTCTTCCTCTTGAAATCGCGATAAAATTGTTTTCTTTTCGGTAGGTAGTACTGTGCCTTTCTGCCAAAACGCCCTCAGTTTTATGGTCCTACGTAGGAGGATGGCGCTTACGGAAGACCTCCTATCTGATCGGTTGCAACCGACTAAAATTTACCCTAACCCTTTGACGAGAAAAAAAGACGATGCCAATCAAAGACATATGAGGCTGCGTCAAACAAAATGATACTTATGAACCTAAGTACGAATCGCGATTTAAGCACTCTAAACGAAAGCGGGGCGTCTTCTCTAGTATCATTTTGTTTGACGCAGCCTCAACACGCGTGGTCCGGTCAAATATTATTTGACCGGACTATGCGTGTTTTCTCAGGGAGGACCTAAATCATAGCAAAACCATACTACAAATTAACAAGGTAAGATGTAGCAGTCACAAAATTGATATTGTACAATACCTT